TAAATTAATTGAGAGAGATATTTTTATAAGAAACTACTAAAACTTGAACAACAAGTTTAATCAATTCTTACTATTAAACTACTAAAACTTGTTATTCAATTTTGTACTCATGCAAGTATACATATCGCAAAGATAATATAGTGATGACTAGAGTGTCGATCCCATAGAGAATTAAATTAATTTTTACTATTAACTACTAAAATTAATACACTCTTATTTTATCTAAACAATTAAAATTAAAATTAAAATTAAACTAATAAACTAATAATTAAAACTAATCTAAAATATATCAGCAAAATTATTTTATTAACTTCCAGTGATTACTAGACCTAAGATTATAATATCTCTCAATACTTTATCTGAATATTGTCTCTCTCTCTCTCTCTCTTAACTCAGTTTAATAAATTAAGTTATTAACCTAGAGTCCTAAATTATTTACAAGTCTCTGTTGAGTTTCTTATAAAATATTTCTCTCAATTAATTTACTATACGTCTATACAAATTAAATTGAAGAAAGATTCATTAAGTTCACGCTTTAATTTGGGCTCTGTATGTTTACAAGTGTATATCTACCCTATATGCAAATCAAATCACTTGATCAACTAAGTGCATTCGATTATACACTATTCTATTTAAAGTTTACCTAAATCTCCTTCATCAAGGTTTAACCTAGGTTTCTAATTCAATCTAATTGGTGGTTAGGCAACTAGAAACATTAAAAATAGAATAAAATAAACAACTTAAATACATTAAATATAAGTAAAAGAGAGATAAATAAATCAAATTACGTATTGAGTTCTATTATAATCTTAGATTAATAATTTAGTTCCCCATTAAGTCACACATCATCATCAAATAAAATTTAAACATTAAAAACAAAACCAAGAAAATAAGAGAATAACTAAAAGATAGAAAAACTCAATAATTGTTAGGTTTTCAATTCAATCTAATTGGTGGCCAGGTAAATAAAAACATTAAAAATAAAATAAAATAAAATAAACAACTTAAATTCATTAAACATAAGTAAAAGAGAGATAAATAAATCAGATTGTGTATTAAGTTCAATCATAATCTTAGATTAATAATTTAGTTCCTTATCAAGTCACTCATAATCATAAAAAAAATTTAAACATTAAAAACACAACCAAGAAAATAAGAGAATAACAAAAAGATAGAAAAACCCAAGAATTATATTCTTGATCTCCAAATCTTCATGAATCCTTTAAATTCTTCTTAGCTTTAATGACATTGTGGCTTGACTCTCAGTTGTCAATATGATGTTTGTTTATTCTTAAATGTCAAGATTGTTTTTATAGGGCTTTGAAGTTAAGCCAAGTTAGATAAAGAAAGAAGTCAATTCCAATAAGGATTTCCTCATCAAACTACGTGGGCCATTGCATCTACCAATTAATTAGCAGAAATCGTAATTGCTCTAGGAATTAATGCTACAATATGTCAACTTTGACAAGATTTTTAATCACCTAAGCCAAATTGGGCAAAGTGGTTAACATAAAAGTTGTAGATTTTTCTTTTAACTTTCCAATGGTCTAAGAATCATCCCATTTAAAGTTCTATAGAGAGAGTTATGACCGAAATACTGAAACATATGCAGTGGAAGTCTGCACCTTGAAATTGCTCTTATTCTTCAACTAAAATTTTTCTTCCATCAAACACCTACAAAACTACAAATAAATCAATAACAATCTATCTTAATCACATTAACACTAAATTAAGTATAAAATTAATTTGAATTAGATTGACTCACTTAAATTAACTAAACTAAAATAATTAAATAAAGCCTACTAATTTCTATACATTACTACAAAAACTAAGCTAAATTACTATCAAAATTAATCTCAAATAACTCTATATCATAGAGATATCACTCCATCATCTTTAAACTCTTTGCGAGGCATTCTCAGGGGAAAATTAAGCTTAAGAAAGCTTAAGGAACATTGTAAGGGTTTTTAGCTTGGTTTAAAAGCTCATCTTGTAAAAACTTGGTGGAAGCTGATAATTTCACTAGTTTAGTAAAGTTGGATTAAAAATCCTTAATTTGGAGATCAAGGTAGTTGATGTAGTTAAGGGGACTGAATTACTATAAATATTTGTTATATCCACTTCTCTTTACCTTCTTTTTACTTAGTGACTTTTAACTTCAAGAAGTCTTAAACTCTCCATTTCAAAATCATTCAAAAGTTTTTCAAACTTAAGAGTTTCTTTCAAATTTTTTTATTGCTATTCACCTCCTTTTAACATTCCATTGGGACCAACAATGTCTAGCACCATAGCCCTTGCTAGATAGGAATAACAAACATGTGTCTCAACATTACACATGCTTAGCACCAAGCCTTGCTAGATAGGCCTCACAAGCATGTGTCTTACCATTAAATATGTCTAGCACCATGCCTTGCTAGGAAGGCCAATTTCCACGACCAGTAAACCTTATTCCAAGGTTGTCCATACCAACATCAAATACTCATTCATTCATCTATTTAATTCAAGCACAATATACTTGTAACCACCATGTAGCTCACATATCAATTCCACAAAATCACATTTTCAATAAGTCATTCAAGACCTTGTACTTTACACAATTTCAAATACCATATGTGCGACCAAAAGCTCATAAATGGGAATAAAACAGGTTTATGTAAAACCATGTAAGAAAAGAAGAACATCAAAACATGTGTGTTCAAAAGTAGCATGACAAAATGCAATGGAAGAAACTAAACTTTTTCCATTAGTATCAATAAATCTTCAAATGTAACTAGCTACATCAACTTTCTCTACATAAATTGCATTTCTTCTTATAAAAATGAATTTATCGTATATACAGAGAAAAATAGATTTTTGTATCAAGAACACATGACTCATAGTTACTAGTTCACTCAGCTTTCCATTGCTATGGAGGCTTGAGAGTTATGTGTATCTAAGATCTTTATAAAACTTTCTGAATATGGAGACAAATGGAGAGATCAAAGCTTACAAAGAGACAATAATACTTTTAAGGGACTATAACATATAATAAGATGTTAAGCTAGAAAAATCAAGAATTATGAAAAGAGTAATTATTTTTCACATTTGTACTCATAATGGTATTTAGTTTAAAGCGACGAAGAAACTTTTCATAAAATTTTGATTCCAAATAAAATGGAATTTGAAGAGTTTAGGGCACCGAATTTAGGATTGGATTAATTACTGTACTTTCTTGCATACATCAAAATATTATTTCACGAATCAAAAGGAAAATAAAAATAAACACTTAAGCCTAAAATTCAATTAAAGAGATAAAGGGTAGCCAATAGGATTACGTTTTAAGGTAGTCACCATATCCGGTGTTTATCAATTCTTTGCAAATTAATAAAAACCATATATAGTCAACTTTAACCATTTCTTCAGTATATTGATAATCTAGTTTTACATTTCACAACTAGCAACATACGATTTATAATAACTTAATAGAAATAGAAAAGAAAAGAAGACAAAATAGAACATCGCCCTTATTAGCATCTTCATGTGATTCGGACATAGAAAATAGTGAAGGCATTATTCTTTAGAATTTTTGTTGCATAAAAGTTTAAAACATCCTTTTCAAAGAGACGAAGATGGTGCAACATCATCAATGACGAAAGCACATTTGTTCCACGTTTGGATACTCCTTTTCAAAAGTACCGATGAATCAACGTTTTTGAATTTAGGAAGTTGAAGTGTCCTCTTTAATAATGCATTGTGGCAAACTTGACCAAGCACTATAAGCTCACCGCAGCACCTATCGGTAACGCTTTCGGCTTTGTTGCATATACTTTCGAAAACCTCCATTACACAATTCATACTCATCTTGGTTTCACAATTATATGCCTGTATCGGGTCGACCACCTCCTCTATACTCATGACTACACCACTAGTTACAAACAAAATCACCATGAGACCCACAGCATTGGAGCTTGCCATTATGCTTATTCTTGATTTCTCTTCTCTTATTTGGTTGGTAAAAGGCTTGCTCAACGAGATTTACATGCCAGGAAAAGAGTTATTTATAGGGTCATCACAAGGAGGGAGACACATTGATAATGTTAGAATGATATCATTTATTGCATCTAAGTTTCATGCGTTAATTTTATTCAAGTTATAATTAAGACATGAGTTTTCCTTTTTTAATTTATGAGGATTAAATTTCTATTAATAAGCCATTAAGTTTTTTTTCTTTTCCCCAATTCCAAGAGTAAGAAGGAGACGAATAAAAAAAATTGAATTAAAAAGTTTTAAAATATAAAAAAAATCATAAATTCGAATATAAGTTTTTAACACATGACAAACTTAACCAAATAATATAAATTCACTACAATACTTATTAAAGACACTTCCGATTTTGAATATACTAGTGAAAACCTTGGTAACGAAATTTTGACTCATTATATGCCTTGATAGGATCAGCAATCCTTTGTTACAAACAAAGCCACTAAGAGAGAAGAGAGAACATTGAAGCTTTTCATTATGCTTTGTAATGATTTCTCTTCCTTAATTTGGTTGGTATAAAGCTTTTCCAAGCAAGTAAAAAAACATTACTCGCTTAAATAATTATAAATCTAAATTTAAAACTAATTGATTTTAGTCAATTTCTTTCTCTCCCTTTTAGGCTTGGAACAATAATTAAAGGTAATTAATAGAATTTAATGCTCATAAATTAAAATACAACAACTCATGTCATGATTATAATATCTTTTGCCCCTTACACGCAATATGGAATGGGATCACTGTTGCCTCCCTGACTACGTTTTAAGGCAAGAAAGGGACAGACAAAGGGATATACAATAATTATGAAATGCTTCGCCAAGAAAAATTGCTACTCTTTAACCATGCCTATGACCACCAGGACCAGCTCTTTGCTGGACAGGCAGATAGTATTCACCCACATAAACAGTACAAAATACAGAAAACCTGACCGTAAGACTCAAATATCACGACTAACATCTAATCTAACTTCTATCATGCGTGCATGATGATCCCATTTAAATAAATATAAATTACCAGTAAGAATGAATCATACATCTTGGCATGCAAAAAATGTCATTGCACAGCTATGTTTTATTAAATTCTTTACATACCTATATGCAGCTTATATGCATATACATGCCACCAGCACCTTCTTTGACGGTCCACACTTGCAACAGAGGTACTACTGGTTCTATAAGGTGACAAAATTGAACTGAAACCGCTTCAACCTTGTATGTTTATGTGCTTCCCAATATTTTGAACCCTTGTTTATGCTGAAATTTACACCATGTATTGCTTAGAGATCTTGATTTTTTCTTTCACCAATAAGTTCGTACAACTGATGTGGACCTCACCCCTTCCTCTTTCAAGCCCCCTATCATTGGACATCCTATGTTACAGGCTTCAGGTAATGAATTGATGAGAACGACTTGAACTACGATCAACACTGGATATCCAAAGTTCTCTTTGTTTAAACCTCAGCTGCCATGAAAAGTACACAAACAACAAACAGAACCTATCGGTGTTTTGATCTTCGACGCTTCCCAAGAAGTTTTAGCATATTGTCGGTGACATCAAGTGGGGAGTCATCTTCATCTTGATTGTTGTCAGAGGTATGAGTCAACCATGCCAATGCCTCTATAGCAGCGTCCCTCTCTGCAAGCTGCTTGTTTTTCTTAGGTTTTCCCACAAACTGCATTCCTTTGAATTCCACTAGTGCCCTAAACTCATTTGTCTTTAGATGCTTCGTCTTGTATTTTGGAGGTGAGTGACCTGCCCTCATCAACAAAGTTTGCAGCAAGCTCTTTGGATTTGTTCCATCCTTTGTGAATCTACTCTTGTCAGTGGAATCCTTAGGCTTCTTGGATTCACGGCCAAAAACAAATCTCCCTTCACATAGATCTCCAGACACTAGCTCTTGAACAGCAAGCATAAGGTACTTTCCTTCCTTGTGAATATCAATTCTAGGATCTTGAAGCTGCATATAAGAAGGCAACATATCATTTGAAGCAAAGGACACATCAAGCAAAAAATACAAAAGTCAAAACAAAAACTTAATTCAGTAAGCTGCTCTGATTTGGTGCACCTCAGCATGGAGCTGAATCAAAAAATTCCATCAATGCTATGTCTGAACTGAGTCCTAAAAGCCAGCAATTGGAATAATTATCTATTAATAATCCTGAATTGGTGAAATCTTTGAATTAGTTATTCAATCATGTGATGAAAGAAAAATAGAAAAGCAGTGGTTCAATGATTCTAAAAGTCAACTGATACAATGAAGTTCTTTCCTATTTCCAATAACCATTCAGATATTTTGCAAACAATGGGCAACCATCCTAAAATCAAAGATAACAAAGAATTAACAATAAGGCAGCACAAACAAAGTATCCTGAAGAGATTGACATGCAAATTGAAGCAGTATATATTAAGCTAATAAAATAAATACAGTGAAGACACCAAAGCAAAAGAATTCGATTTCTGACTATATATTTTAAAACCTATAAGGGAAAATCTTAGTTGAAGTACAACATAAACAAACCTAAAGAAGTTTGCAGTTACAATACAGGAAAAGGAGAAAAAAAAGTAAACAGGATAAAGACTAGAAAGTGCATCCATGTAAGAACATATTTACATCGTCCAAAAAAGGATGCACTTTCAGAGAATCTATTCCTATTCCACTCTTGAATTCCCAGATCCAAGGCTTGAGCAGACAGTTTTTACCCCCAAAAAGTAGAGCATAATAAATATAGTCATAAAAACCACTTTAAAAGTAACCCAAAATAATGTTATTATAAGACAAGCAATAGAATCCAGCACAGCATTAATACAATACATATTTTCTAATTTCTACTACTCTAGAAGAATGCATCATATGAGTTGCATATGCATCTTGTTAGAGGACATCTAAAAGTTTTCAGTCAAATATGTTTGAGCTATCCTAGCTCACCTTCTTCTGAATAAGTCTATCAAGTTCTCCTTTGAGCTTCAAATAGCACTCTGCCAAGCTAGAATCCATGAAGAAATCGATATACCCTTGCATCATTTTCAAATGCCCAGCCTGGAACAACCAAGGGATTAATTAGAAATACCTAGCAGTTGAATTCCTTAGGATTGAAAATAATATGTACTCATCAACAAATGAAATCACCTGTACCCCACAGCTTAGAGCACCACCAAAGAGCATCAATATAGAATCAGATACACCAGTGGAATCACGTATGAAAACTGTGTTGACCTTTACTTTTTCACCAAAGACTAACCATGGGTAAGGAATAGTCTGGTAACGTGCATTCACAGAATTCTGAAGCAAAAACCATTACCAGCATCAAGCAATAGCAGCAGCATTTGGAATCTAAATTGGCAATGAAAAACATCTAAAATATCTTCACTGGAAGTGATAGCCCATTTACTGACCAGAGGAGTTTTCTATAATTGTGAAAACCTAGTTATAATGGTTTTAGAGGTTTTATAATTCAGGGACTGTTAGGAGAAAAATAAGGATTTATCAGAAATTACTTGGATGCATATGTGTGAGCATGAGAAAGAGAGGGAGAGAGCTCTGAAAAAAAAAGTTTTCTCTGAAGATTGTTATGCAAGCTAAAGCCCTAAATTCACCTTTTTCTTTTTTGGTAACTAAGGCATAACATTAAACAACATAGTTACAAACTTGTAATTCTGGGTTATATATCCCTTACAACATCCACCCTAAATTTATATGGCATTATACACTAACCATAATCATGTTAAATGACCAATAAGTTTGTCCATGTAGGGTGAATAAGAAATTACAATAAATAATAGAAAATATTCCCAAACTAGCCCCTGGATAGGTTGGTACTGCATGAATTTCCTAGATAAGCTACTACTCAAAATCACAATCAATTTTTTGTATTTTGGGGGCCAAACTTTTTAAATATTGATCCTTGTTACTTTAAATACTTTCTTGACTTGTTTTTTTTAAAAAAAAAAAAAGAATGAAAATCTGTCAATTAGAATTCCTTAAGAATTTTTTCCAAAGTTTAACTAATAATAAACTAAAAACTATAAGGTCAAAGACAAAAAGAGTGACCTCAAAAAGTAAGAAATATGGGTAGAAGCAATAACTTTCTTGCATAAAGGAGTCAAAATATAAATGAAAAAAAAAAATAATTAGCAACTGCTGTCTCCTTTGATGAAAAAGATGGATTGCCTAGGAGCAAAGTATACGTTCAATCTTCATTGAAAACAAAATTACATAGTATCATTAATTTTTCTTGATTAGGTGTTTACACTTACAGCGTACAATAAAACCTGGCCATCATCCATGGTCTTAAAAGACATTGATGTCTCTCTGTGCTGCACATAAAGCACACAATGGTATGTCATCTCATATAATCAGTGAGACTTATTGAAGCTGCATTTTCAGACAATAAAGGTCCCTTACCACTACAGATGTTATTCCAGGAAAGAGTCCAGAGCATATGACAGCACGAACCAGAGACTGGTTGTTACTTAATTTATTGTTTGAGCCTGCATCTGCATCTACCAAGCCAGCTTCTCTTAGAATGAAACTAAATTGTTTCCGAAGAGAATGAATAGCCTGAAGAGTTTGTGCAGACAGGAAGTTCCTCCAACAATACTCGTATGCTGATCCTTCTCTTTCTGCATCTTTCCAACCTTCATAAGCACGGACAAGAGCCATGTGATCACTGTAGTCTTTTGCCGAAAATCTTGACTTTGCTGTCCCAGCTAACTAAAACAAAAAAGGGATTATTAGCTAAAGAAACTTGATAGATTAAAACAGCTATGCGGATTGGTAGTGCGAGCAAAATCTATAAATATTGTGAGCCTACATTGTTAAATGATTAGCAAAGTAACTCTCATCTCATTAAAAAATTAACTTATACAAATAAAAGTAATTAAGTATTCCAAAAAAAAATTAAGACAACACCATTAACGACATTATAACAAAAAATAAAGCCATAGAAGAGATGGGCCTCAAATAGCAATAACGAAGAGAACACTTTGGTTAATATACAGTTCAAAAGGTTGTTTGCTATGAATAACAGAATACATGTAAACAATTTACAGTTCATTAGGAGAAACAAGAGCACACCCCAATTCCTTTCAGTAGGTTGAGCTTATAAAACCAATCAAATTTCAGGCGGGAGTTTGAGCCACTCTGAAAAAGATTTTGATATTTAACCAGCATGGCCTTTGAACATAGAGGAATGGAGAGAAAGGATATATGTAAATGGCTAAGATATATTTGAGCCAAGTTCAGCTAACTTTGATAGGTTACTTTAGAAGCTCCAATTATATTTTTCAAAGAAAATTCTTAATTCATAATCTCTGAAAGCTTTATAGCTACAAAATGCTCCAATATCCCAGTTATTTCCACTTGTGAAGCCAACTAAATGATTACAGACAATTTGCTTTCTTGCACTATCCCAAAGGCAGTAGCCATTATTTAAAGTTTCTCCTCTCTCTAGTTAGATTTCCAGAAGCATTCCAAAACGAGATGTTTACAATATATCCCTCTAGCTGTTACCAGTCAATTTTCAGACTCCAAATATCATATCCATGGTTATCACTATAAAACTAGCAGTTCTTCTTTTCAACTTGTACCTTAAAATAGCACTATGATGGACAGCTATCAAAACAAAAATCATTCAGAGCAAACAGGTTTTCTTTTGTGGGGATCAGGCGGCCATTCAAGTTATTATGGCCCCCAACACTGCCCGCACCACACCCCTGCCCCCCACAACCTGCATTATTTTGGTTTCCAGCTGAACCATTTTGAAACTAAAAAAAATAAGACAAAAAACAAAAAGAATAGAAAACCAGTGATGCAGAGGCATTTTATACTGCAACTGCAGAAAAGTGATGGTTGTTAGGGGTCACATTTCTCTTTTCTCAATTTTGATTTGAGTGGCAAGACAAAGAAGGGAGCATATTTAGAGGGAAAAAAAATGGAAACCATTCTAAATATTCATACAAATATTCCCCACAAGCATATGATAGTACCACACCAGTCAGGTCTTTGCCATACTTCTTGAAAAATATAAACCAATATCAAAAGATGTAAAAGTAAAATAACAAAGTTCAATTCCATCAAGTAAACTAATGTTTATATACTTACATCCTTCTTGTCTTGAGGCAAAAGGAAAGGATCCTTGACACTAAGTCCAGACACTATTGTTAAAACAGGATCAAAGCAACGGAAGATGGCGCCCATAATTAGCATTTTCCCTAGCTTGGGATCTACAGGAAGCATTGATAAGAACTTTCCTGATTGGGAGGAGGGGGAAAACACAAAAGAGAAGGAAATAAGTAACAACACCAAAGGTAGTACGCCCACCATTCCACATTGAATGCCCACATTTGATTTACAAGGAGTTAAAGAAAAAAAAAACAAAAACTTGGACTTCATAGTTTTTTGTTTAAAAATTTAAAAATATCTTATATTTATTGCTGCTTTATAGTTTTTAATCCAAAAAGTTGAAAAAAAAATCATGAGAATAATGTAGAATTTAGAAAAGTCTTAGTTTTAGGTGTTCAGAAAAAAAAAAAAAAAGAAAACATAATTCTTCAACACCCCAAAAAGGAAAGATAGACATTCAATTTCTTATTAAGGGAATAATAGGTATAAAGTATGTATACCAAAATGCATCTACACAGCAGAGGAATAGCAAACTAACCGAGATTTGTCAGATTTTCCTCCTCATCTAATGCCCCAATCATTTTCAAAAAATCAACAGCATTTTGGACCTGTCATTCATTTATTTGTCAACAGCTCATTGTGCAGCATTTATAAAAATGAAAACAAAAATGCCAATGGACAGGCAAGAGAGAAAACAAAATTGCGAAGAGGCATATGAAGGGATACACACACATTTGCATGCATAATGTATAACAGCATTCATGCATGCAATGGTAAGAAATTGTTTCTTCTCCCTGTATTTTTTCTTCTTTTGTACGTCAAAAGAGTCGTTAGCCACTTTTACTATGTCTAGAGTCAAACATCCCCATGTTCTCATACATTTTTCATCCACAGCAAATTTCTATAATTTTGTTCTTATACCATTTTTCAGAACAAGAAGGATAAGTCTATTTTTTCTGAATTTCCATGTTGCTGCTCAAAGCAGTAGCAAATGGCATCATATGGTATAATCCTGCACTGGAGTATTAGTCCTGATCGTTCTTCAATTGGAAACTTTGTTCTCTTATAAGAGCAAAATAAAATTGTAACAAAGATTGGAAATCATAAAAAATTCAAATTGCAATCTTGGTAGGAGACACTCAGATACTTGAAACCATACATGGTAAAAGGTCCATATAATACTTACAGCCAAAGGCTCCGGTGCTTGCAAAGCTGCTGACAAGAATTCTCCAATGCTTTCAACCTGCAAACTTTTTATTTGCAAGCAGAGAGAATTCAAAGGAGTTCTTAAAAGTTCAGGAAGTTGATACTCAGAAAAAGCTTCATAAACGCATCTGGGGTATAGGTGGTAGCATTCGCCTGGCTGCACCCGACCAGCCCTACCCCTCCTCTGCAAACCAAAATATTACCCAACACCACTTACATCAGCCATGACAAGAGAAAAGTAGACACCATAAACATTCAAAAAAAAAAAAATTCAAATAGTGGCTGATATAACAGAGTCCACAACAAAGTGCTAACTCTTTTAAACATCCCAATAGCTGTTAAAAATCAACCTTCTTTAAAAGGTCTCAGGTTGAACTAGGCCACAGAAAAACCAATTCATACTCTCAGGCAAGCAAACACAAAGAAGCAACTCTGGAGAAATGGATATGCACACATGTACAATTAGGATATTGAAAAACTTCAGAACACAACTTCTGTATTGAGTGACCCAGCAACTGACAACGTCAAAATTATATATTATAGAGATATACATATACAGAGTATACTCTAAATATAACAGGAAAATCCAAATGATATAAGCCTAATTACAAGAATACTTACTTGCCGGGCTGATGCCTGAGATATCCAGGAAGGTAGCAGGCATGGCGTATTATTCAAAGCATCATAAGTGGTCTCTTTTGCTTTTCCACAATCTACCACAAAAACTATATCATTGATTGTGATGCTTGCCTCTGCCATATTTGTAGCAAGAACAATTTTACGTATATTTGGAGGAGATTTCTCAAATATTAGTTTCTGCAGAAAATAACAGAAGACAGTCAAATGAATAACACGCACTAGTGCAAGAGCATAAAAATTTCCAATAAGGTTTTCCTCTGATTTCTTAAATTTTACAAACTTCAATTTAATGGTAGCTTTGCTTTGGGAGAGTTCAAGAATGTATGTTTCTTAAGTTTATGAGCTAATAAGTTTGAGCTGATTAGGAAAGGCTGCTCATTTTATATATGTGTCTGTGTAATACACTGCTGCTCATTCCTGTTCATTCTCTACAATTTACTTTGCTACCAAATTGAATAGCAGATCTCAGCAATATTTTTAACCTCTCCAGCATTTTCTATTTTGGAAATTTTATTTTCAGTGTTAATGACAAAGTTTTGAAACATCCAGCTCGGACTCCACATTCTTTTTAACCAAAAAGGACAATAATTGTTAAAAAATAGTCTCACTAAAGGGGCTTGTTAAGTCATTTTCATTGATCATAGAATTAATAGAAGGGGGAAGCTGGTGAAATTACCAGTTTGTTGGGTAAATGGAGTAATGAACCAACACAAAGCAGTGAAGCGAGAGAGAGAGAGAGAGAGAGAGAGAGAGAGAAAGAAGTAAATTTACAGCTGAAGGTATGGTGCTCATGTCTACATTGATAACTTATAAGGAGAAAAAGAAGGAAAAAAGAAAAAAGTAATTGAAAGACAGTAATTTTTAACCAGTAAACATTCATGACACTGAACATGCACAATTAAAGAACCATAAAATAGGGTTTAGATCTACTGAACTTCAATGGGAATTAATGTTAGATATGCCCACTGTCCCATATTTTGGTTCTTTCTTGTCCAAAACTGGGAATATTACTTATATTAACCTTTTCTCTGCCCTCGCATGACACACAACATAACTTTCTAAAATTTCTTTCCTTTCTTGTTAATTTTTAAAATGAAGTTAAGAGTCTAAAAGCTGTTAATATAACACTGCAACCTCTCAAACATTGTGCTAAAAAGAACCAAGACATTACTGAGCTTGAAAGTGCCCATGAAAGAATTTAATAGAACTCAAGTTGGGTGCTAGCTAAGTACCTAGCTGCTACAGATGGCATATAAACTCCAGAAGAACTGTTAAGACGATGTTGCATGTAGTCAGTAGTGAAGTTCAGACGAACCTTACCCTTGACAATCTCTCCCCCTCACCCTGCCCTCTACAAAACAATGCTTTATCTTTATGGAAAACAACTCAATGCAAACCCTTAAGATTTCGTGGTTTTTAACCTCTGGAATGCAGAGCCTACTAAGTTTTCTTCTATCCATGGCTGACCAACTTAGCTATGCTTTAGTTTCCAATTTCTTATTATACAGAACAGATTTTTTTATTTTCTTCAGAAAATCAACTGCTCAATACCCATTAATTAATGATGAAATACGTGAATTTTATTTGAATGATTAACTCTTTAATGGGAAAATGAGAAAGCAATTTTGTTTAGCATAAGGTCTTTATTTTTTATATCATAGGATCATTGATGTGGAAACAAATTCTAAAACTAAATTAGTGTAATATATTGTGATATCATAATTGTGACAAATGAGCAACCTTTTTAGTCATGAAAATTCTTAAAACAAGGCTTCAAAATAAAATGGAAACTGACTTTCCTAATGATCACTTGATTGACTACATTGCTAAAAACTTTCAAAAGACCTAATAATCAATAATTTCTAGCAAATGAAAGAGACTAGAACCTTTAAAAAATGAATGTGTGTGTGTGTGTGTGTGAAGTCATAGATATCTAATTGTTTTTGTAGTATATATTTTAACCAAAGGTGGATACTTTAATTATTTAGACCAAAATACTTCTTTTGCTTTTAAAAACTATATAAGTTAGCTCTACTTCATATGTCCAAAAATGCTCCTATAAACTCTTTTTCATCACCTGATCAAATGATCCTATCTTACACTCCTTCAGACCCTGTAACTCAATGGTTTTGAAACCTTCAAGCATTAATTTCATCCTGAAACTTCAGGTGATTCACAGAACAAAAATAAACCCACCTGTTCAGATGTTGCCATGGAACCATGGCATGTTAAAAGCAGAACCCTGTTAGGATCTCCTAAAAGGGGATGAGCTTTAAGCTGATCTCTCAGACAACTGATATCTTCCCAACCAGTCATAAATACTAGCACAGCACCTGGTCTTTCCTTTCGGCATATATGACATAGAACTGCCTCAATAAGATTGAATCCTATGCAATCAGGCATCCAACATGCCAGAGAATCACGTGCCCTAGAACTATAATTCTCAAAGCTTGATTTGTTCAGAGCATCCTGCAGAAATATGAGGAAAGAGGACCAAACATTCAGAGCTATAAACAGAACCTTTTATGAAATTTTAGCTTTAACAGGTTTTGATCAAACACGTTACAACACACAAGTACTAGTGTCAAAGAAAATGAAAGGAAAAAAAATAAAAACAGCAAAACCATGCCTTAAATTAAGCAATCATATCAGACCCAAAAGAAAATAGATTAAGCAATCATAATATAGATAAAAAAAGAACCAGCCTGCTAAGGGTAGTTATTTTAAAACCATACTAGAATTAAAAACAGGATGTAAAGAAATGCTATTTACTGCTCAGTAAACTCTCAAAAGATGATTTGCAAAACCCTCAATTAAATAGGCATGTCAAACCCAAATAAGCTCCAATCACCTAATCCAATACTTAAATGGCTACATCTTACAACAAAAGACTATACTTTTGTTTGAACAACAGAAAGTTCAAACTGAATGCAATGAATAAATTAATTTCACTCTACTGCTCATCGTCAAGTACCAGTCATACTAAGGTAGCTTCATATGAGGCTTGACAGGGAATGATCCTCATCTTGCCGCATTAATGCCTTAACTGCTATTTAGCCCCAAGCAAGTCAATTTAGTTGCAAAGAAGCAGAATTCTAACAGTATGCATTAGAAGTGGGATTGGAACCTGTTTTTGTATAAGGACATACAACCATACTTTCATCTGATTGGAGACCGGCCATGTGAGTAATAGCACACTCCATGAAAATCAACCACAACATTTGCCGCAAGCTTGTTTAGAAATGTATTATGATGGCTCGTAATTACTTTAAAGCTATTATGAACATTTTTCTAATTGTTTGGTTCATTTTAAAGTTACTTCATGATGAAAGGTCAAGAATCTAGCACTTATTGCAAAATTAAGTTTTTAGATGCATTACCAAACACAATTAACTTTCTTGTACAATAGCCTCTTCTAAGTACAAGAGTCTGAACTCTGAAATAAAACACTGAAGCCCAGCATACCAAACTGGCCTAATTGAAGTTTGTATTCCCCTTCAACAAGTCATATCTTCAAGGGCTGAAGCTCAACGCAACAAATTCCATTATCAGAAAGTTGAAAATATCACTTTATTCATCCATGAGACAAATGCCAATAATCCTACAAATTTTAGACTGCTTAGAATCAAACATTATCTTTCCAAAAGCTGTTTCATTTGCACTACACCGAACATTATCTGGTTAGAATCAAACATTATCTCACAATAATTTTTCAAGCCAAACATGCCACGGTTCTCCAGCTGATAACCAAGAAATTATACTGTACCTCTACAAGGGCAGTTATCTGGTTTTTCCTTTTCCGTGGGGCAAGCTGTCTCTGCATTTTCCACATTTTGTCTTGGCCATAATCATCAATTTGGTTGAAAGAAGTCAACTTATATCCAGTGAATTCCAACACATCTTCCAGAAAGTGTGCCCTGACTGGATATGTGAAGCCCTAAATAATAAAATGAATAAACTTAGACTTGCCTAATGAAGAGTTTGGGTAAAAGGATCATCTCCAAACCCAAAGTAAAATATATATAAATCACGAACTGGTTCAACATAAATAGATGCAACAATAAAAGAGAAAAACATGAAAACAGGTGGGCAAAAATGCTAGCCCAAATTATAGGGCTTTTCGTACCAGAGAAATAACCAGGGTAGGAAATAAAAATTGATGAACTCCTTCCGGAGACAAAAATGGAATAACTATATGCAGCAACGAAAATTTCATTATTATTATTTTAATGAGTCAACAATTTATCTCTTATTTATTATAAATTTCAATAAGTTCCCAATATTAATCCTCTTTAAAATAAGTTTTGTAACAATGGTGACAAATTGCATCATTCAAAACTATCACTAAATTCCTTTATTTATGTGTGTGTGTGTGTGTGTGTGTGGAGAGAGGAAATTTTCATATTTGGAATGAAGAGACAACTCCATATTGAAGTCCAGAGAATATTCAACGATTTTTTTTTTTTTGTAAATTAGAGGTACAACTCATCCAACCCAAAAATACATAAAAACTAAAAATTGCATGAAAACAGAACCATGACTACCTAAACTCTTATTTCCAACTAAAATAGAAAGGAAACAGATGATCAAGCAAAATTTATTATTCAGATAAATGACACTCCCAGCTTGCTTATTTGTAAATACCTACAATAATAGACACCACAAATCAGTATACAAAGAGAAAACTGAACTTTTGACTTACCGGAATGTGAATTTTTGGTGCCCCACCAAAATAATTGGAGAAGAGCTCAGCATTCAAAGTGGCACTCATTAAAATTAACCTCAAATCTCGACGACGTGGAAGAAGATCCTTCAACACAATCAGTAGGAAATCTGGAATACATAAACTCAAATATTAAGAATCATGCTTGACTGCTTTTTAAGAAAGAAGCACATCAAAAGGAGTTTATTAGAACAGCACCTTCATTCATTCCTCGTTCATGAATTTCATCAACAAAAACATGAGTTATACCATTCAAGTTCCGGTCACTTAGCAGCCGTCGGAGTAAAATACCACTGGTACAAAAAAGCAGATGGGTATTTTTCCCTTTCATTCCTTCTAATCGAACTTTATAACCAACCTACCAAAAAATTTCTGTTGGAGTATGGAAGCAAGAATAAAGAAATTTTCAAAATTAAAAATGCTTTTGAGCAAAGAATTTTATATTATTTTTCACATGTGCCTGTCTACTCAGAAAGAAAAGACTCACTGTTTCCCCGAGAGGCTCTCCTCTTTCTGCAGACACTCTTTCTGCAACTGCCATTGCAGATATTCTTCGAGGCTGTGTGCAAATTATGCTACAGAATGCTCCACGACCAGTTTCTATTTCTGACTCCAATATGTATTGTGGAAGTTGAGTGGTCTTCCCACACCCAGTCTCCCCTGATATCACTATGACCTACAGTTGTAGCAAACAATTAAGAATGGTACTATAGAGCACAGGCATGAATAAGATGAGGCATGGTAAAAACTATAGAGAGATTCCTGAGGTGTTTTTCATTCTCTTTTTTTGTTTGCTGTACATTGTATGCAGGGCAATTATAAAGTAATCATTTGCATAGAAAACATATTATAAATTCATGCATACAAATTTATGATGTTTCATGATAAACAAGCCACAAAAAACTGATTAATTGGCATTCTAAATAACAGACAAGGAAATGTACCTTTTCCGTTGTTTCACAATAAATTTGAAGAACTGAAAACAAAAAACTAGAGAAAAAGGACAAAACTCCAAAACCAGGAAGAATTACAATATGGAACAGTCCAAAATTTTGGGATAAGGTCTAAATTTACCACTCTACTTAAGATGATGGATCAAATTTACCACACATATTTTAACAGATGCAATTTTACCACTGTATTTTATAATTTGGTTTAGAAATGGTCAAAAGTTAATAGTAAAAGAATATTTTTTGAGAAACTTTTGACCATTTTTGAACGAAATTAGAAAGTACAGTGGTAAAATTGCACCTGTTCAAAGATGGGTGGTAAAGTTGATCCATCATCCTAGGTAAAGTGGTAAATTAGGACCTTATCCCTAGAATTTTTCTTCACCTAGTGGAAACAGAGACACTAAGAAAGCTGCTAAATTAAATAGAAATAATTCTTACCAGTTGAACCTTCTCCTTTTGATTTATATACCCTTCTATGACTTCATTCTTGTTTCAAATCTAACTTCTAATAGACTCTACCCTGAATTGACTTGCTTTTCCAAGACCTAAAATTCCTCTCACATTTCTTACTACAAAAAGTTAACACCATTATCCTATGGTTGACCAATTAAACTTTAACCTGATATATGTTCAACAAACATCCAGTCATTCAGTCAGTCTTTGTAGCAAGAAAGATGTCTATTTGACTGGTATAATTCTTACTTTTAAAGATTATCGAGTGACTTCAATTTTCTTAACATATATGAATACACACGCACACACACACACATATATATATGCTAATACAATTCAAAATCAATATTAATCATGAACTAGCCTGCGGCCTGCACCACGGTGCTTTAATTTTGTTCTAACAGGAGAAAGTTTGGGAGGAGCAAATATATCAGTTGCAAAGAATTAAAAGAATCTGTCAATTTATTTTGTTGCGGGCTCAACAGCAGCAATATGGAGCCATAACAAACTGAAGTGCTGCAGCCAAAGAAAGCAAGTATCACTGCCAGCTACCAATCAGAGAACCGGCTGGAGTCATTTTTTAAGTATCGGTAAAGATAGATCTGCTGTGATAATTATAATATAATCAACAGAGCAAAAAACAAGCCATCTGTGTACAATGAATCAAATCCATAAGGAGGATGAAACCAAACAAATTCAAAGAAATGGAAAACCAGAAACTTCTCGAAACAAAACAGTGAACAGAAGGAAATCTCTCAGCAATAATGGTAGTCTGTTTGATATGATATGCTTACTGAAAATGAGCAAAAAGTTCCACACTCAAACCTGATTGCGTGCTATTGCCTGAAGCAGCCTTTCCTTTTCCTTGAATGCAGGCAGAGATTTTCGAAATTCCATCATCTTCTTGCCTTCTGGTGATTCCTGAAAATAAAACGGATAACTGATCATAAAGATAGATAAGGTTTCTTGTTCACTTTTTCCCAACTCTTCAGCAAGTGCATGGTACTCATTATACTCATTAAATAACTACTCGGAATAATAATCATGATAAACATATTATGCTAGTAATGCTTGCTGACGTTTGCAACATTTCAGGTACTGATACCAGTACAACCATTTTAGTGATAAATACAACGTCACATCCACAGATAAATCTTATACAAAGTACAGGGGGAAAAACCAAAGATGAATATGCCTTTTTTTTAAGGGGGAAAGAAGAAAACCCTGAAAGTATATCTTAGAAAGCACAAAAGCAAGAAAATAAAAGATACAAATGCTACCGAAGTAAAGAAGCAAATTTGACAACATATCAAAAGCATTAAAGGAAAAACAATAATAATTAGCAAGCCATGCCTGCAAAGCTATTTCCCATTGCAGATAAGAAAAAATTAGAAGAAAAGGGAAAAGATCATACCTGCCAAGCTCTTTGCATATTACGCAATCGCAAACTCCTCCTCTGAAGAACCTTTTCCATAACAGAATTATCCAGGAAATAATCTGGATTCTCATCTGGGTTCACACATTCAGCCTGATCAATGGAATTAGCATTGTCTGAATTATCTCTGACGTTCCCAGAATTTAACTGCAGTCGATCAAGGTATTCTTGCAGTAAACCCTCAACCCTCCTTTGCAAGCCTAATGGTACAACAACCTACAGAAATAAACCATCAAACATTTCAATTCTCCATTTTGGAAAAATTATTTTTAAGCTACACAGAATATAAAACTTATCAGGAGCTCCCGAAACTTGTTACCTCCCGTTGTGGCCGTTTATCATCCAAATCTGGCCTATAGTTAGGAAGAGGAACCTTGCTTGCAACAACCACTTTTCCATACATTTCACTGAAAAAAATAAGAACACGTAATCGGGGCCTAGAATCATTCTTTCTCATGAAGAATATATCTTAACATATATTATCGGTGCATCAAATATAATGTTATACACAATAGAGATGTTACAAACCTGTAAAGTCCCATCCTGTTGGCAAGGTTTGATATCTGTTCATAGTCTCTCCTATCTCTTTTATCTCTAGATACAATTTCGTGGTCATTTTCACTGCGTAAGAGCATGCTGAGTTTCCATTTCCATTCATCAATGTTGGCAACAGAAGAAGACGCCTAATATCAATAAATTATATCACATAAATGATCAATTTCCAGCCTTGATTCAAACAAGTCTATCCTTCTTTACCATACATATTATTAAAATAAATAAGCTAATTCTCAAAAAAGGGGAAACAAAAAGGACCTTATGGCTCTCAAAATCGCACTCGTATTCATCATCTGAGAATTGCTCTGCCGCATACCCGCAGAAACGCCGTCGTTTTGGGAGACAAAACCTAGCATTAGAAGAAGAAGAATTCGGGAGTAGAAAAAGCAGTGAATCAAACAAGGTGTTCGCTCTGGCGTGAGTGAAATTGAATCCCAAAAGGAGACCTCTTAGCTTCGGATTCTGCATTGTTGGCAGCAGAGTCTCATTTTTCAAGCATTTGATTTCAATTCAATGATTCAATAAATACAACAAATTCTTATACTTTCTGTTCGCAAAACCCCAATAAAAAACTTATCAAAATCAAATGGGGAAGATTATTCAATTGTTTGAATAGCGTTTGATAATTTGATTTAGGGTTTTGGGATTGTTGATGGTGGGGAGGAGGGTTTAAGGATTGGGCTGTAAATTAAAAAAAAAAACGATTAATAGGGAAAAGGCCAATGGATGAAGCCCCATGAAAAAAGGGTTCCTTTTTGGCCCATTAATTGAAAATATCTAACAATTTGTTCAACAACAATAAATTTTATCTATTAAATTTATATTAAAAAATATTCTCAACTAAACTTTTTGTAACGAAGGAAAGAGGATTATAATCTATCTTTTAGACAAATCGATCATACATCAATCAATGAACTAAATGCTTAGGTACAGATTCTCAACAAATATGATAAGGGTATTGCATAAATTTGAACATTTTTATGTATATGAAAAATTTCAATAAGTATTTAAATATTACGATCAAAATAAAGGATAATTTAAGGTAAAATTGTATAAACCTTACTTTTAAAAATTAAATGAAAATACTTACGTTTCACATCACATCCGTCAGTAGAGAACAAGTTAGTTATCTCTATTACTTTTTCATCAATTATGTTTTAATATATCTATGAAAATGGTTTGACTCTTATTATAATTTAATCAATTACGTACAAAAGGAAAAAATGAAAGTAGTAATTAATGAGGTAATACTCATGGTAACAAACTCAAATCAACACTCATGTTAGTAATACATTCACAATGATTCATGAGAAAAAGAAAAATGGAAGCAGTCCAACTACAACCTCATGTTGAATATATTGTTAAATATGTGACGCTCAATATGTATCACATCCAAGTTGTGACGAATAAGATTCGTCTGCTACTATGATAATTCCTTAAATATACTTTTTTAACCCAATTATGAGTTTGACTAAAGTTGGTGTCTTTTGGTCGCCCACCTTTCCCATGCGTGATATTTGAAATTGACTCCAATCATTCCAAGATCTTGACTCTAGATAATTGAGGAATTGGAGAGTCTCATTCAACACGTTTCTTAAATTTATCTTTTTGTAACAAAAAGATGATTCATTGGCAACAATTGCTTATAACAATAAAAAAAACAAAGATTCCTCCCATACCCCAAGATGAAAGTCTTTCCATATTGTATGCAATATGGACATGATAAATGTCCATGAATGCTCCACTTATTGGCTAGGGTATTGGCAACAATCGTCCTATAGCAGAGGCCTAAGGTGTTGGTCGAGTCATATCAAAAGCCCTGGGGCACTTATGTGTGCTAAATGCACTATAAGGCTATGGCATGCGCCTTCCTTATCACCAATTGATTTTAGGCGAAGTGGTAGCACTTTAAGTCCTACAACTGGTATCAAAACTAAGGTCTTGAGCTCTAAACCTATCATTATGGACTAGCCCAGCCCAAGGCCTCGTGAATTGAAAAAATATGAGTTGGGTCGGGGCAGCCCATTTTTTATATGGATTATTAAATCCTCAACCTAGCCCACCCTTTGCTAGCCCATGGGTCGGGTAGGGCTAGCCATTTTTTTTTAAAAAAAAATATTTTTATTCCCATCAATAAAACAATGCCATGATTTAGTCCATAAATTAAATAATAAAAATATATTATAAATAAATAAATTACACCAAATATAAATAAGCAAATACATTACATCAAACATAAATAAAATTTTAATCTTTAATACAATTACACAAACTACAATCCCATCAACATAACTATATAAATACATAATCAAATATTCATAAACTTCAAGACTAATTAATATTTTTCTCAATATTCATTTTCAATCAAAACATTTGAGTCTTCTTTGAATTGTAATGATGTCTCCAAGTCCTCATCATTATCATCTAATAATATTCATTGCCACAAAAGAAAAGATATAATGAGTTTGAATTTTAACTAAAATTATTAATTTAACAAGTAAAGATTAAAGACATTGAAATATATAAAATAAACAATACCATCGACAGCTAAAGAAAACCCATGTAACCAAATTTTCATGCAGACAAGCATTTAAACATTTTCATGATGGAGGGAACTTCTAAACTTGGTGAGAACATGACCATCGATACTAATAGCAGACTCTGATGCTATTGTAGTAATCGAAATACTCAATACATCTCGTGCCATAACAGAAAGATCAGGAAAGCGCTTAGCATTATCTTTCCAATAATTAAGCACATCCAAGTCTTCCAACACTTCATAATTAAGCTTTGGCTCATCTAAATAAACATCCAACTCAGACTTTCCAGCAACAGAAATTATTTCATTTTGAAACATTTTGAACTCTTACAATTTTTAAATACATAGACAAAAAAAATTATCAAAACATAAATAAAAGAATAAATTCTCATGTAAATTAAGATTAAGGAAAAATACAAAACTTACACTAAAGATCTTTGATCCCTTGGGTTTAGTTCCCCCTCCAACTTGCTTAGGCAAATTACTTATTGAGTGAGACGATGTACTTGATGCACAAGTGTTGCTTG